AATAAGTTTTAAATAATATTAAAAAATTATATATATATATATTCAAATGACAAAGCGATTTAATGATATATGTAAGTTATATTACTAAATTTACTAGTAAAAACATTTTTTTTTCATAAAAGTTATATTAATTTTATTCCTTTATATTCCTAAAATATATAATTACATTTTTTATTATGGTGTTATAATGATAAAAGAAATAAAATAATATCATATATGGTTTTCAATATATTTTAATCTGTACAAAACTTTTATAAACATGTCAGTTTAAGATATTTTTAAAGATATACCATAATTATATTTTCATAAATCATGATGAGCTACAAAATTAATTATATATATGTCAAATATTAGAATAAACTGTATTTTAATTCCAGTGCATAATACCTTATTCTTAGAAAATCTCATATTTATTATATATATATCATGTTAAAAATGATTACCTTCTACACTAATAAACATAAAAAGAATACTTCTGATATTTTTAAGAAAAATGCATATATATAATTATCATTTTTAATATATTCTCAATGAAGTTGTGCAAAAAATACAACAGAAAGCTTTGCATAAAGTATAAATAAACTGCTATAAATTCTATTATATATAGAAAATAAAAAAATTATGCGAATATGTGATTCAAAAAAATATACGAACAAATACACTTTTCAGTATTCAAATTAAAACTATTACATTTCCTTTTCCCCAGAAAACTGGAATTTTCTTACATTTATGAATCCATAATACAATTAATCCATGAACAAAATGAGTGAATACATAATGCACCTCAAGTTATATTTAAAATTAGGACGTTAAAAATTCAGCTATCTAATATGTTATCATTTTTATCTATTAGACTTTTGGGATGCGCAAATCTTCACAACAGACCTCACAGGACCCATCTGCGTTCAGGCAAATTTACCAATCCTTCCATTCATCCAATGTATGTATCATTGTTATTAAACACATAGATATAGAAAGGTGTGTGTATGTAAATGTATCCCATTTATTAAGTCATTTTTTCTGCTAGGCAAAATTTTTTAGCAACGTGAAAACAATCATGTCGTTTTCAAAACCATGGAGTACATGCATCAAACATTTATTCATCAACATATCAGCGGAATATTCTTGTTTTTTATTTATATATTTCCTTATATTCTATGACCTTCTGATATTGCAACTTGAAATACGTATTGGAAATAACAATGGGATATATTCCTCACATGTCTGTTCCTACACATTTTGGGTGTCATTATTAACATAAAAATTTTATTTTTTTAAGAAATGAACTATATCACATTTATTTTTCCATGTTATATACAACCATTTAGAGTGGCATTTATAAGATCCTACACGAACAAATGAAAAGTGTGTATGACCTTTATGTGGTTCTGTGTATAAGTGCATATGCAGGAAGTTCTTGACTTAAACATAGTATATCTTTTATCGAAAGACTTTCATATAACTAAATAAAAACTGTTTATAAAATATACTTAGTATATCCTTGCTTTCATTTACTCTCAATTGGAGTTTAAAACATAGTAAAATGATTATACTTAAGTGATCCACTTGAAAGAATAAGCGAACATTTGGGTACTCAAGCAGAAGAAACAGTAAGAGAAACTTATGCAAATTATTACTTCATATTAAGAATGGATAAGTTAATACAACTAATGTTACTAACTCTATGAAACCCCTTTTACTTTTATTCGGTCAGCCCCCAATAACCCTTAAATAAAAATCACACATGTGTTATATATTATAAAATTTTTTCCTTTTACCCTTCTTTCTCAAGATTATATGATTCCATTCTTTTCTTATGTCTTTTTTCAATGATTTAAGGTCTATAAGAATAAAAATATTGGGAAATATATATACTGACCTTTTGAAAAGAGGGGAAAACACATAAAATGTTATCTGTTTTTACGACCAAACCTAGCACCATCCTGATATAAAGAAAAATATAGTAGTATATGTGAAAACGTATAATACGTATATATATTTCTTTTAATGAATGCTATGTTGGAGTAGCAATTTTGTTTCTTGACAAGTACTAAAATTTAACCCTATATAGTTACGTTGCAGTTTGAGGATATTTTTTCCAATTTTGCCAAATATATATTTTTTCGTATCATATGTACATTCATAATTTGATTAACATGACTTGTATTTATAACATAATTCATAATGTAAAAATACTAACGTCCTACGGAATCAACCTCCCTTAAGATGTAAATTAATATATATGTTTATTTTTATTTTATGCATAAGTTAAGCATATATTT